CCCCACCCCCGCTGACCCTCACCCACCCCGCTGACCCCTCCCCGCGCCCGCAGCTGCTGGAGCAGGCGCTGGTGATCGAGGAGCAGCTGCGGCGCGCCGCCTACCTGAACATGACGCAGGACCCCGGGCACCCCGCCATGGCGCTGAACACGCGCTTCGCCGAGGTCGAGTGCCTGGCCGAGAGCCACCAGCACTTGTCCAAGGAGTCGCTGGCGGGCAACAAGCCGGCCAACGCCGTGCTGCACAAGGGTAAGCGGCGGCCGGGCCGGCGGGCGCGGCGCGCGCGGCTCTGAGCGCGGCTGTGAGTGCTGCGGCTGTGAGTGCTGCGGCTGTGAGTGCTGCGGCTGTGAGCGCGGCTGTGAGCACAGCGGCTGTGAGCGCTGCGGCTGTGAGTGCGGCTGTGAGCTCAGCGCGCGGCTGTGAGCGCCGCGCCTCTGTACGCGCTGCCTGGCAGCCATTAAACTCGCCTTTGCTCCAACGCCGCCTCCCGCTGTCTCCTTGCTCCGCGGGCGCGGCCGGGCGGGCGCGACGGGCCGAGTAAGGGCGGAGTAACGGCGGAGTAAAGTGTTAGTGAGGGAGGAGTAAATGCTAGTGAGGGCGGAGTAACGGCGGAGTAAAGTGCGAGCGAGGGAGGAGTGACAGCGGAGTAAAGTGCTAGTGAGGGAGGAGTGAAGTGCTAGTGAGGGAGGAGTAATGGCAGAGTAAAGTGCTAGTGAGGGAGGAGTAAAGTGCTAGTGAGGGAGGAGTAATGGCGGAGTAAAGTGTTAGTGAGGGAGGAGTGACGGCGGAGTAAAGTGTTAGTGAGGGCAGACCGAGGGCGGAGTGAAGTGTTAGTGAGGGAGGAGTAACATGTGAGTGAGGGAGGAGTAATGGCAGAGTAAAGTGCTAGTGAGGGAGGAGTAAAGTGCTAGTGAGGGAGGAGTAATGGCGGAGTAAAGTGCTAGTGAGGGCGGAGTGAGGTCTGAGTGAAGTCCAAGTAAGGTCGGAGTAAAGTCCTGGCAAAGTCAGAGTAAAGTCAGAGCAAAGTCAGAGTAAAGTCCCAGCAAAGTCCAAGGAAGCTGGGATTGAGATCGGAGCAAAGTCCCAGCAAAGTTGGAGTAAGGTCCAAGTAAAGTCCAGATAAGGTCTGAGTAAAGTCAGAGTAAGGTAGGCGTAAAGTAGAACTAAAGTCCGACTAAAGTTCCGACTGAAGGCCTGGTAAATTCTGAGTAAGCTCGGAGTAAAGTCAGTGTAAGGAGGGCGGCGCGTGGAGGGGCTGTGGCTTGGCGCTGAGGCTCTGCTGAGTAGCTGTGGTGTAAAGCTGGAGTATGTCCCCGGTGCGTCCTGTGTGTATCTCTGGAGTAGTTTACTCCTTCTCCTTTCCCTCCCTCCCTCCCTCCCTCCTCGCCCGGGGGTTTGGTGGAGTATCCCCGGAGTATCCCCGCAGTGCATGCTGCGAGTAAGGCTGGAGTAGCGCCGGTGTGAGCCCGGAGTATCCCCGGTGTAACCAGTGAGAAACCCAGAGGACTCTGGAGGGATGAGCTGAGTAAACCCAGAGTATCCCTGGTGGATTTAATGCCAGGAGTATCCCCTGAGTGACTCCGGAGCAGACCCGGAGCCGCCTCTGTGTGTCCGAGGAGTAGCCACCAAGTAGCCACCAAGTAGCCACCGAGTAGCCACAGAGCAGCCCGGTGTGTGCAGGCCTGCAGTGAGGCAGGAGTAACCCTGGAGTATCACTGGAGTACCCGAGGAGTATCCCCAGAGTGTTGAGAGTAACCCTGGAGTATCTCTGGAGTACCTGAGGAGATACTCGGAGTAAGGAGCACACCTGGGGTATCTCCGCTGTGGGCGAGGCGCGCCCTAAGACAGGAGTACACCTTGAGTAAGTCAGGAGTACCCCCAGAGTAACTCCAGAGTACCCCCCGAGTACCCCCAGCCTACTCACACCCCTCCCCTGCACAGGTGCTACCCCCGAGTAAGCTCTGAGTACCCCCTGAGTAACTCCCAGCTCCTCCCCCTCCCTCTCCCCACCCCCGTTCTCACGTGAGTATCTCCCACGCACCCCCTGCCTGCGAGTAACCCATGAGTAAGCTGTGAGTGACCTGAGTAACCCGTAAGTGACCTATGAGTGACCCATGAGTGACCCATGAGTAACAACTGAGTAAGCTGTGAGTGACCTATGAGTGACCTATGAGTGACCCATGAGTAACCCCTGATTAACCTTGGGTAACCCCTGAGTAAGCTGTGAGTGACCCGAGTACCCCAAGTACCCCCTCAGTAACCCCCAAGTAACCTGTGAGTAACCCCCAAGTAACCGCTCAGTACCCGAGTAACCCCCGAGCACCCCCGAGGAACCTGCGAGTAACCCTTGAGTAACCCCACCAAGTACCCCTGAGTAACCCCTGAGTACCCCCCGAGTACCCCCCGTGTACCCCCTGAGTAACCCCTGAGTAAACCCCTCAGTACCCCGTGAGTACCCTGTGAATACCCCCTGAGTACCCCGTGAGTACCCCCTGAGTACCCAGTGAGTACCCAGTGAGTACCCCATGAGTGAGTACCCCGTGAGTACCCCCTGAGTACCCTGTGAGTACCCCGTGAGTACCCCCTGAGTACCCCGTGAGTACCCAGTGAGTACCCCATGAGTGAGTACCCCGTGAGTACCCCCTGAGTACCCTGTGAGTACCCCCCGAGTACCCCATGAGTGAGTACCCCCAAGTACCCCGTGAGTACCCTGTGAGTGACTACCCCGTGAGTACCCCCCGAGTACCCCATGAGTACCCCCCGAGTAGGCGGTGAGTAGGCGGTGAGTAGGCGGTGAGTAAGGGTGTCTCTCTTGGCGGGCAGTGCTGAACCAGCTGGAGGAGCTGCTGAGCGACATGAAGGCGGACGTGACGCGCCTGCCGGCCACGCTGTCGCGCATCCCGCCCATCGCCGCGCGCCTGCAGATGTCGGAGCGCAGCATCCTCAGCCGCCTGGCCAGCAAGGGCGCCGAGAGCCACCCCCCGCCCGTGAGTGACACCGTCACCCTGTCACATTGTCACCGTGTCACCCTGTCACACTGTCACCCTGTCACACTGTCACCGTGTCACCCTGTCACACTGTCACCCTGTCACACTGCCACCTCGGCATC